AAAATATTTCATGATGGTTAGAGGTTATTAAAAATAAAATTATTCCCTCGGAAAAGGAATTATTTGTTGTACTTGATACACAGGACTGGAATCCCTTTCTATCTGAATGCAACTACATGGTCCACTTTCCAATTTAAGCTATAAATCAAGGTACAGTATACTAAACTCAATTAAGCTGTGAAGTAATCTAGTTTATCACACTAAAAAACAACATGAAAATTGAATTAGAGGCAATTTAGAATTCTCTTCTCAACTGGCCCTTCCAGAGCAACTGCAATCTGAACACAGATTAGCCCCTAACCGTTAGTCACACAGAAAAGTTATTTTCTGTAAGAAGTTCATTTCAAGAGAATTAAAAATAATAAGTGCTGATACCAGCTTCAATATGCTGTATGTGCCCCTTTTATAAAACTTCACCAAATGTAAGCATCACCAAAATTCTCCCAGGTTTCCTTGGATGATATAATTTCAGGCTACTTTTCATTTGTTTTGTTACATTTTTAAAATCTTACAATAAGTATGTATCACCTATACAAATTTTCTTTTGATGGTTTAAAGAGGAAAAAATGCAAGCTGGGTATGCTGGCATATGCTGGTACTCCCAGCACTCAGCAGCCTGAGCCAGGGGGATTATGACATTTAGGTCAGCCTAGAACACATAATACCAAGACCCTACATCTCAAATAAGCACGAAATGTGAAATTGGCCAGGCAGTGGTGGTGCACGCTCTTAATTCCAGCACTCGAAAAGGGCAGAAGCAGGCAGATCTCTGTGAGTTCGAAGCCAGCCTGGTCTATAGAGTGAGTTCCAGGACAGTCAGGGGTACACAGAGAAACCCTGTCTTGAAAAACAAAAACAAAAGAAAATAACAATAAAACCACCAACTAAAAAACAGAAAAAGTGAAATCCTGAGAATTCAGTAACAATGAATAAAGAACCTTGAAAAGTTATGTTTTAATCTTCCAGAATCAAAACACTATCAGATAAGTTAAAAATCTGACCTTTATATTTGGAAAAGTTACATAACCTCTCACATACTAATGCCAACAGCTCAAAAGGCATATTAGCTTTTTTAAAAAAGTGACCAGATCAACCAATAAACTGATATACAGACAGAACACAGAACACTGTATCAACATTAAATCTCCCAGGTTCCATAACTGTCCCAATGTTATGTACAAGAACCTTTGCTCTAGGTTTTCAGGGGCAAAGAGGGTAGGTAATGTATGCAACTGATTTTCAGACAGATCAGCGACAAATACAATAAAGGTAATAGAACAAATGATACATTCTTTCTCCACTCCAGAGTGCTGGGCACTCTGCCACTGAACTACAACTCCACATGTGAAAGCAAATTCTAAATATTCAGAATGTTGATGCAGTGCAGGTAAATTTCATAAGAGTTGTTTGCACAATTTTACATTTTTGTAAGCCTGAAGTCATTTCTAACAATTTGAACTGAAGAGAAAGTCAACAAGGGAAAAAATAACATTCAAAATTTTGCTTAAAAAAAAAAAAAAAAAAAAAAAGATCACCCCATTCCCCCTCCCCCCCCCAAAAAAACAGGGCTCATATCAACAACTTGAAGTGAGACTATTTGGGGGTAGCATAATACATTCAAAAGTTGTGCTAACAACAACAACACGTGCAGGAACAGCAGTGAGCAGCTGAGCAAACCTGTGCACAAGAAATACAAAGGAGCTTCCACAGGTAGGGGTCAATTTTCTAGCAGCCACTTCAGGGCACAGAGAAACTGAAAAAACAATGTAAACACATTAATAATATAAAGTTGATATACTCGAAGTTTTTCATACTAAGTTGTCACATCCTTCTGTATGTCACACTTCATAGGACATCTCAATTCAGAAGCTACAGTTTCATAGGAAAATACTTGGTTGCGTTTTATCTCCTAAGATGAACTCTTAAAAGCAGATTCAGGAAATGAAGTTGCTTCAGCGTTTGTTTTCCCAGTCAGTGAGATGCCTCGGTGGAGAAAGGCTTTGGGGCCAGGCCTGACCAACTGAGATTGCTCTACAGGGCCTACACAGTGAAGCGGAGAAGTGACTCCCACACTGTCTCCTATGACCACCACAAGTGCGCCTCCATACACGAAATAAATAAATGAACAGAGTCTTAGGAATATTTTAAAGAGGGCTGGAGACGTGGCTCAGCGGTCCCCGGAGTCTGGAGCCCAGAACGCACATCAGGTGGCTCACGCTCAACCACCTGCACCTCCAGCTCCACAGAACCCAACAACCTGTTTTGGCCTCCAAGGGCACACACACGCCATACACTCAACACAGATACAACACACACACATAAAAACAAATAATAGAATTTTTAAAAATATTTCAAAGATTTTTCTTTTCAAAATTTCAAATATAAACTCCAATGAAGAATGCCTTCCCTCAACCATATAAAGCATGTAGCAAGCAGGATTCCCCTCGCTGGCAGCCACACTATGTGACTGTTCTGATTTAGATGGGAATGAAATAAATTCCTTCTACAAAAGAGGACCAGATGCTAAGATTTAATTTAGTTCCTGTTACCAGCAGTGTTTTTAAAATACAGGTCTAACAGAAGCATTACCCTGATACAACTCAACAGTCCCACACACCTTTCACAAACACCTCAAAGCCTTTCCACCTCGGTTGTTGTACTTGAGTTTCCTGGACACAGCCCGTCAAAAGATGGCTTGCAGATGTAGCAGAGCAAATTCAAGTGCTGGGTCTCAGAAGCTTAGACATCCATGGTAAAGGGAGCAGTTTGGGCACAAACACAAATCCTGTGGTTCCTAAGTAAGACTTAAACACAAGAGAACTTGCCCTGGGATTTATGAAAGGAAGTGCCCGAGCAGAGAGGTGAGTAAAAAAACAGGTGTAAGAGATTCATTTAGTCAACACCAAGCAACACTAAAGATTCGCCAATCAATAATTCTGTGCCAAGCAACTTGATCAGGGATTTGGCCAGAATCCCTTGGCTAATCTCAATAAGGGCCTTCTCAAAGACATCCTGATTTAAGCCATTCTCATCTAAATGAAGGCTGTAGCAATCCTTGGCCTGACAGTAAACACAAATTACACACGTGAATAAAATTCTGCCAGTCAGCAAAAGTCAAGACCACTTGAAAAGATGATAGTGTGAAAAAAACATAGTTCCAAGGAAACGAAGTTTCCACAAAACACCATTTTCCTTTTGTTTTCGAGACAGGGTTTCTCTGTGAAACAGTCCTGGCTGTCCTGGAACTTACTCTATAGGCCCGGCTGGCCTCGAACTCACAGAGATTCACCTGTCTCTGCTTCCTGAGTGCTGGGATTAAAGGCGTGCGCCACGAACGCACAGCCACCAAACACCATTTTAAAAGCGTTTTGCAAAAACGTTTCTTACTTTGTTTAGCCAGACTTTTCAAGTGAACAGTGTGGCTAGCAGTCAAAATTAATCCATAACAACAAATTCTGATATTGGTATTTTTCCCCCTGGAGATCTGTGTTAAACGGATTCTTTAAAACTGATGAATTCTTTGTTACCAATTCACTAAAGTTTCTCACACCAGAGGGAAGTGAGGCTGAGTGTGAACAATGGTCTCTGACACCCTGACCCAGTACTTCCCACTTAATCTATAAAACCTAATTTCCCTACCCCCACCCCCTTCTCTTATCCTGCTTCATGTAGCTGTTTCCACAAGACAGCTTATCCGAGACCACACTACCTATTGAGTGGAGGGTAAAATAATCTAAAAGTTGGTGTATATAAACATTAACCATTTCTACTTAAGACTAAACAACCTTTTCCCCACCCCAGTCAAAAGTTTTAAGCAGGATGAATATAAAGGTTTTCTTGATCTGTTCCATCCGGAGGATTTTTCCTCATTAGATCTCTTCTACCCGAAGAAATATTTACGCATCCTGTACAAATGAATACATCCTAAGCTGGGGTTTTGCTCACAAAATTCTCAGGTAATCCCTGTTTAATCAAATGCAATCTCTGACATTAGCTCAACACGCAGAAAACCACGGTGATTTTTAAATACAACGAACAGGCACAAGAAGAAATCAACTGCACCAGAAACACACACTCGAGGCCGACGGTTCAAGCACTATTTCGAGAAAGCAGGTAAACAAAGTCCCACGTCTCCCTCGGCGACAGAGGTTCTTGCGGGGGAGGCTAGGTGCAGAGCACGCCGCAGTACCGGTTCCACACCCGCCTCTTCCAGCGGCCTGAACTCCCGCCAACCACCAGGGACCCCGGCCACTCCACCAGAGCAAACAGAGATGTTAACAGGGGTGACCTCTGGTGCAGAGCAACCCGTGGGAGAAAGTACCCCTGCCTGCAAGGCTTTCCCGATGTCCTGGCGAGCACCTTCCCTAAAGACTCAACGTTCGCGGGAGCAGGAAAGCTGGGCTTCCCTAGTTTGCCACACTTGGACAAACGGCTGGGAGCGAGGGAGGGCGCAGAGCGCCCCGCTGTCCCGGCGGCATCTCCTCCTCACCCGGCTCCCTCGGCATCTCGGCCGCTCGCCAGGGCTGGAGCCGCATCCCCACCGCCAAGTCC